CCCAGCGCCTTACAGATTCGGAATACCTTTATTCCCGCGACTAAAAACCTATTCCTCCGTTCGGACGGGAAAATTAACCGGCAGAAATGAAAACAAAAACACTGGTGGGAAGGCGGCGGGATAAAGCCAACCTTGCGGAGGGCATGTTCGAAGCCTGTTTGAAGGATAGCGCAGTCCAGCTGCAGATTTTATTCATGAGGCAGGTAGTGGGGATGGCACGGCCATCCCACAGGCTGTTGTATGCGGAGCTGGCTGAACTCCCCTTACAATATTACATGGTGAAGCAGATCCTCTGTTTCTGGAACCGCCTTCAAAAGCAAGTGGGATCCATTGCTCATGCAGTTTTACGGCAGGAGATAACCGATGCCCTGACCAACCCGGAATGGGAGGGTTGGGGAATCTCAATGTTACGACTGTTTTCCTTCTTGGAGTGCAACATTTTGAACGGAATACCGCAAGAAGTCGTGGGGATAAAGGAGCGTGTTGACTGGTTGTTGAGTAGACCTCTACCCGAAGGAGTGATGATAACGGCACTAAGAGAGCGTTTGATGAGCGGCTGGGACCATACGCGTCTGACTGTCTTGCCAGAGGAGTACCCATCAGATGGGAAGCAACCGTGAGTGCAAATGGCGAAGTGTAAGCACTGGATGGGGCTGGCCTTTTCGGGAGCCGCAGCCGTCATGTGGCCAACACATGCTAAGGTTTTCCTCGTATAGCACATCGTAAGCTAATGCAGTTTCGTTTATGTTGCTGGGCTTTGGAGGCAAACAGAGCATGAAGGGGCGAGTACCATGTCCCCAGGGGGCAGCAGTTTTGCCACTGTTATGGTACTAATAGCCGAATCGAGGATGAAAAACACGTGTTATTGGAATGCCCAGCCTATAATGATATTCGTGCTGAAGAGGGATTCGATCATCAACAGAGCATGTTGGAGGCCATGAAATGGGAACCTGCACGTCTTGCAAGGATGTTGGAACATATGTGGGCTCACCAAAACTCAATTATCCCCTTTGGACGCTAGTCTGGGCTGATGTGTGGTGTTTTTCCTTTCCTCCGTGGCTTTTAGGCGTTGTAGTATTGCCCTTGGGCCTTCGGGTCACACACCCCCAACCATGTAACACACACACACATATGAGCTCAACAGTAAGCTTACAGGATACAACACCACCCCACTAGATACAACAGGTACAGAAGCACCTATCACACATGCCAGATATGGTGGTAAAATAATATGCCCATATATTCATGAGGATGAGGAATTTAAAGCAAGGCATCATAGAAATCTTTGTAGCCACCACAGTATACCGGATAGATGTCTTACATAAACCACGTTTCTGCTCCTCTAAGCAGCACAAGAAATCACAAAAACTATGAATAAGGAGTTTAAGCCTGGCCACGGCATCAGGTTACTGTGGGGCTGTAGTAGCTGGTACACGGTACGGATATATTTTTAAGTGCAACCGCCAGCTTCTTGAGATGCCTTTTCAGCGGCCAGCATTTATAGGGCCAGCCACACCCTCCAGCTCCTTGGATGTTCAGTGCAGTGGCCCACAGCCCCAATTGCCATACAAGCAAGGCTCTGGGATCTTCCTTGAGGTCCTGAAGGCAGTATAACAGGACGGGAATACATAACGATATTACAACAAATCTGTGAGTCTTCACTTTGTGTTATATAGCCATCACAATTTCTGATCAAGGTGTGTGTGTGTGTGTGAGAGGGGGGGGAATTATGTACCATCACACCTCACCTCCGCAGTGCCACACTCCCCTCATCAAATCGAACCCCTCATCATCACCCTCCAGCAGTGCTGAAAGCCAGAGAGGGGAGGGGGGAAAGACGAAGCACAAATTGAAGCTGCTGCCAGGGCAAGAGAGTATCAAACGTAGTACTGACCGAAAGGCGTCCGTGGCGACCGTGACCTCGAGATGAAGAAGTGAAGATGTCAGAAAGACTACCTTCCTAAGCCGCCAGAACTAAAAAAAAGAAATAGTATTGCCAAGCCGTAAAGCAGTAGGTGTAGAAAAGTAGTTGTGAAGGCGGCGGAAAAGTAGTAAAGTAGTGCTATTGTACAGCTGGCATAAAGTTGCTGACCTGGACAAATAGCTGATTTGCTGATACTGAAAGGCTGTCGGTATGTAAGTGCTCCTCCTGTTCCCCCAGGGGAGGGGGGAAGGTGGCTGTCTGTGTGTGTGGACAATGTGTATATGTATGTATGTGTAAAAAGATAACACCCCCTGGGGGAACAGGAGTAAAGTATCCCCCAAAAAACAAAGACCAATCCACACAGCAGCTCATTTACTCCCTTCACCCCTGTCTAATCCCCCTTTCATTGCACAGTTCAAGTTATCTAACACGATCTCCCCCATCTCCAGATTCCCCATGTGGGGTGGTGGTAATACACACCAAGGGGGTAACTAGGGGAAGTGTATTTCCTTGGGTGTGGGAAGAGAATATAGAACTGACAACTTCTTTTAATGTAACATTTTACAGGAGGAAAAAGCCCTCCCGTAATCGGTTTAGGCGAAGGATGTCTTACCGAACACGCCCTCAGAGCCTTCAATAGCTGTTTCGCCATTCCGTCCATTGCATCATTTGACATTCCCTTATTTTTAACACCAGGAGCTTGTTGTAGCTTTCGAAATTCTTTCCTTCGTTAGCTCTCGCACATGTATATCTTAACAAGGATATCATAATTTCTCGTCAGAATAACATGCGTTTCATTTATGTCTTTTGTATGTCTTCCAGTGATGACGCAGTCCAGATTTTGGAAGGTGGTGGTCCCACGGGACCATAGACTAGCACCGCTGCCGCCATCGCGGGACCGAGCTACAACAGCAACCAGCAGGTAGAACTCAATCCTGAAGCAATGGATACTCTTACAACAAGATTTCTGATGATACTGTGTCGAAGAAATCTTGTTGCAAGGCTTCAGGATTGCTGCACCTCGGTCCGGCGATGGCGGCGGCGGCGCTACTTGATGGTCCCGTGGGACCACCACCTTCCAAAATCTTAGCTGTATACTAAAAGGCATACAAAAAGGCATATGAAAGACATCTTTTTTGAAGAGAAAAAATGATATGCTTGAGTTAGGGATATGTATGAGCGGGACTTTAATGAAGGAAAACATTTCGAGAGCTACTTACCAAGGTCCTGGTGTTAATGGAATCTCAGAAGATGAAATTGACGAATTGGCCATTGAAGGCTCTGAAGGCGTGCTTGGGACAGACATTCCTCGCCTCAACCGACTATGGGAGGACTTTTTCTCCTGTAAAATGTTGAATTATAAGCTGTCACTTCTATACCTGCTACACTTATGGGTGTAGCTCTGGATTCGTAAACACATTGATAGTAAGTAATGATTGAGGCTTCGGCATTACATACGTATGGGAAAAGAGCAATAATATCACAGCCCCCACGTTTTGTGATGCGTATAAATGCTGACTATTTAAATAAACATAAACCCTTCGTACTTCAATTTTCGTACCATGCTTCTCCATGCGCGTTTTGTGAATGCGATCGTTACAACGCCTCCCGCACAACACTGTGGCAACACTGTAATAACCACACACACACACACACTGTGGCCTTATTCAAAGATCCTCGGTCCTCGGTCCTCGGTTCATGTGTGTGGTTGTTACAGTGGGCTCAGATTCAGATACAGTGGGCTCCAGATTCACCAAGAGTTGGTGGGACAAGTCCAGTACACATGCATATGACAGCGCCGCGCTACATGCACTTCAGCATTTCGTGGAAGGCCAGGAGTATAATATCACCATGATGCAATCACATATGTTTCCGATGGCGGTCCTTGATCACAAGGGATGTCTTAGCAGATGTTGGGGGGGATTGCTAAGGAGCAGTCGTAAAAGGTCCCTAGATGGTGCAAAGGCGCCATGCGCCTTCACAACGCTGATCAAACCCGTGAGTCGATGTTATTTGCCGCCACGCAGTTCGCCTTCAATGCATTTTAGAGAGGCACAGCAGGCCTGGACTTGCAGGCCAGCCCTTGCTATGTAGTAGGCGCAAAACGCCTGGCTTGAGCTGCATTTTGTGGCGTGGGCAATCGGGGGCTTTTTGCCCTCATGCACAAACTCGAACAAAACTGCATTCGGCTCCTCCTACCGCGTCCCTAAACTGCATTTTTGACTCGGTCCAAAGTAGTTCTCCAGGTTCAGGGTCCCTTGCGCTGGCAGTGATGATTGCTACCGCTCATTATTGCGCTCGCCAATGATCGGCCAGAAATTTATAATAGTAGTAGTTGCTGTTAGTTCTTTCTGAAAAGCTGTAACTCTTAGGTAAAAAAATGATTAAGCAGCCCCTCGCACAAATGTGTCCGGTCGTACTCTGCCGAATAGACCCTCCGTACTTCGTCCCCAAAGCCAGGAGCGAATTTTGCCTCGCGGATGCGCACGTGCGATTCGAAAAATGCGCCTGTACAAGTGTATGTAAATTTTCTTGGCGAAAAGTCGTGGTGTGTCAGCGCGCTTGTGCGGCAGCATGTTGGCCACAGTTGCACGCGGCAAGCAGGACCGTAGGAATGTATGGCTGTCTTGACGTAACTGAAAGCATATAACTTGGTATCAACACGCGCTCATGGAATGGCCGCGGAAGATGAAGCGCCTGGCGAAGCGGCACTTTTCGAAAAGACGTGGCGCCTGCTTACATACGCAAACAGCATCTTTTTTCGTCTGAAGTCAAAATACAAACTGTCGCAAATTAAAGATAGCATACACAAAATTAAACATAAGAACTGGAAAATCGGTCACAGCTGTGTAACTGAAATGGACGCCGCAGAAAACTTGGAGCAGGTTTTTTCTGTGCATATGGCCGCTCCTGCGTTAGCCGTGTTGCAGCAGCTCCGGAAGGACCTCAGCAAGCAGCAGGCTCAGAAGCTGCTGGACAACCACCGTAACTTTCTTCAGTTGGGCACGTGCAGTTTTGGTCGGCGGGGTCAAACATCTTACGCATTGCGCACGGAAGCCGAGGTGCAGCGTCTCTGCAACATCGCGAACATATCCGGTACGCAGTGGCGCGCTTGCCGAGCACAAATTGAAGTTGGTCGCATTACACCAGTCCACAAAGCATGCATGTGCGCCAGCAGATGAAAATGTGGCGCACTTCTGGTCAAGGGGTGTCGGTCTGCGTTTACGAGGTAAGGCAAGAAACAGGGAGTGGCATAGCTTGGGTCATGGCCGTGGTACTGGCGCACGACCTGTCGTCTAAACTAGCCCGCATTAGTCCGCCTCTTTTCAGTACGTAAGTCATGTCTGTCAGCGTTTACGTGGTGAGGCCAGACTAAGGGGCGGCATACTTGTGGTTATGGCAGTGGTATATGGAAGGACCGCTCATCAAGCACCTGCCCGCATTAGTCCGCCCTCTATTCAGAAACCCATATTGTAAGATGGTGCCATTTCCTAAGATGGTGACCGTGGATAGTGGGATGACGAGGACCATTTCAAGCGCCCACCGTGTCCATGTACAGCTACAATGGTTGTGTAACTGTTTGCTGCATAATACCCCATCCTACAGGTCCGCAGGGTGCCGCGGAAGTCCGTGTGGCGCATACACATGATGGCTGCGTGTGTGGTGACGTGGCCGATACCAGTACAGCCGACACGTCATCCATGCGTATCGATGAACAACCAACCGACGTTCGCGTTGGGAATGCAGAGCCATCCAGCAGCACCAGTAAGCGTGTGCCAATGTGAGCATGTGATCCGCGGAGTGTGACATGCTATGCAGCACATCGCAAAAATCCAGCGAGGCCTGTTCTGAAGGCACTGCTCACAGCCACATCCATGTCCACATGCATCATGTTGATAATGTGGCTCCCTGCTGATGCTTGCTATGCAGGCCAACTCCGGGTGCCCCTATATGCTCGCAGCGACATTAGCAACTGTGCTGTCGTGCCGCTCGATGCCCACGCAACGTGTTTGGACTGCGTGCGACATGGCCTCATTGCCGCGGGCGCCACTGATGTGCCTGCGCCTGAAATTCTGCTGGCGACCGTGGTGGCTGCCATTGCCGAGTCTTGGGAGTCGATGCACTATCAAGTGCTACACGCCCATGCCAGCAGCCTCCCCAGCACTTGCACGGCGACGCAATATGGTGAAGCCCTACAGCAGCACCGGCTGCTGCCAGGCGACGTGGAGCTGGCGGTTCTTGCCCATGCCTTCAACATTGCGATCACAGTGTTTGACCCGGCTGGGCTGCAGATCTGCTACTGGGGCTCCAGCTCAGCGCCAACAGAAGTGTGCCTCATCCGGCAGGCGGGCCTCGCTGGTGCCCCCATGCCTTACCGCCTGCTGGAAATGGTGCCGGGTGTGTGGACAGGGCAACGCCGCCAGCATCTTGTCGCGGCTTGTCGCACGGTTGGCCTCTGCATGTCAGAAACACCGTCAGCCGAGCGGGCTGGTCAAGTGTGTGCTGTCCTGCAGGCGATGGACAGCCGCTTTGAGGTCACTGTGCAGCAGGTGTTGGCAGAATGGGCTGATCAGCATGAACCTGCGGTTCAGGTGCGGCGGCTGCTTGCAGTCACACGGCAGTCAGCGCAACACTCACCGCTGCAGCAGCAGCCCCCGCAGCGGCAGCGGCAGGAGCAGCAGCAAAGGCGTCAGCAGCAGCACCAGCCACAGCAGCGCAGCCGGGTCGCTGCACAGCCAACACGCCAGCAGCATCATCGACCATCTGACGGACCATTGCCCAGTCCTGCTGTAACAGATGCTGAGAAAAACATTCCTGGGTACTTCGGAGCATCCTGGCGCAGTGGCCCCGGCCACAGACTTGGCATCTCTGACCGGCTCGCGGCTTGGAGCGCTGTCACAAGCATGCTGCTGGCCGGTGCACTTGTGGTGTGCGCCATGTGTGGTGTCACCAGCACCGACTTGCACGATGACCTCAAGCGCTGGGCCACTGTCGAGCCTGTCGGTGCTGCCATTGCGCCATACTCATTCCACAACAGCTTACACGCCGGCAGCACAACAACATCCGAAGGCCTGTGGCACCTGTGTCCGCACTGTGCTCCATTGTATCCAGCGAACAGTGGCAATGAGCGAGCAGAGTATCTGGTCTTCCATCCACCAGACTATACCAAGGCCATCGTGTCCTTGGACGCCATTGACCAACTGCGGATAGGCCTAGTGGATGTTGGACTTGGCTTCTTTTCAGCAGCGTTTGGATTTGTTGCCGGCAAGCTTCGGCAGCAGCATTGCATGGAAGCGCTGGTCCTGGATTGGGCACGCGACTCCACACGCCGCGTCAACACGCTGCCCCCGGCACTGCAGGAGGTGCTGGGATGGAGCGTGCAGCACAACCCGCTTGTCAGGGAGTTCCTCACCGTTGCTGAACAGGTCCCACCCAATCACCCATTGCCATACCTTTGTCCAGCTGATGTGCAGGCGTTTGTCGCCGGGGATTCTTCGCCAGCCGCGAGCATCTATCGCGCTTCGTAACATAGCCCATTTCCGAAAGTTTATTCACGCCCATGCACTTGCGCAGCGCCGTCAGCACCATGACCCCAGTCCCGTCGCCTCACCTCCTAGCGCACCTTGATTCATTCCATACTTTACACCCCATTCCCGTCCGAGCTCGCGTTCACCGACGAGCGGGCGAGCTGCACGCCGCACCTGGAATGCAACAGCTTTTCGATGTGCTGGGAGCAACACGCCGCTTTCACATTTCCGCTTGTCCGCCTGCCATTTCCATGGCGCTTTTTTCATTGCCGCATTCCACTTGCCACAGCGCCCCACCCGTTACCGCAGCTGCCGACGCCCATGCTCACCATGCGAAGACGTACCGACTCCTCCGGCGCCCTTCCGATTCACCCAGCCCCCTTGAAGCGTCCGGTTCGTACGGTGCCGCGACTTGTATAAATGCAGGCCTGTGTCGCCTTCCATTCCATACATTCACCTCTTTCCATTTTTAAGCTTATATACCAAACTCGCTTTCGCGGTCGGCAGCCAGCCAGCCTCTCGCTTCGCTGACCCCACTTCTACTTTGGTAACCACGATCAACATGCCTCCCAAACTGGCTCGCCCATCCCAACTCCCGCAACAGTCCCTTCCGCCCACCGACTTGGGCGCTTACGGCGCGCCTTCGCCGAGCGGGCCGTCGGGCTCTTCGGCCGGCGCGTCAGCCAAGCCGCCCGTCCACATCGCCGACCTGTGGGCGCAACTAGCAGCGGCGTCGCCAACAGGCGGAGGCCGCGCTCGCTCCACGCCATCCGGGGTGCCGAGACGGCCGCTGTCTTTCAAGTATGCGCCTCATCTTCCGTTGCTAGTTGCCGCCTTGCCGCGCCGCACCCTGCCACACAGCACGCTTGCCACTCCTGCTGCGCGCCCACGCGCCACTCCGCCTGTCCCGTGCATCCAACATCCTGACACGCCCTGCTGCTGGCCCTCGTTCCGTCAGGCAGCAGCTGCTCTTGGCAAGCATGGGTTGTCACGGCGAGGACGTCCTGCGCGCTAACCACACCATTGCAGAGTTCAACGTGCTCCTGGCCGAAGCCCGAAAGTACAGGGACGAGTTCCTGGAGCAGCACCACGTCAAGCCCGCCAGCAGTGAGTCGTGCTGCCTTGCCGCTCATTCCTCGCTTGCACCCGCTGCCGTGCCCCGTGCCCGCTCTCCATCTGTCCGGCCATGTGGCCACGGCATCCCTTCCTGTCACGCCTCGCCACTCCATGCCTCCACTTCCCTCCCGACATCCCGCCAACCTCACATCCGCCCTCCCTCCCTCCCAACACCTGCAGCGTACTTGTACAACATCACGGCAGCAATACACGAAGGCGACATGCCGGACCGTGCGACCGCGACGCATGCGGCGGTCATGCAATTGTGGATCGCGGCTGCCGGCAGCCTGCGAGCAGATACCGCCATAGAGCTCATTTATGACTATGGCATGGACGCGGGCACCGTCCTCAAGACGGACCAGGAGTTCGCGCGCTCGGTGCTGACGGCCGCGCAGCAGGCGCGAGCGTCGGGCGCCCTCCTGACCACAACCACGCCAGCCAAGCGAGCCGCAAGCAGCCCCGCCGAGCCAGATTCAAGTGCCTCCCCCCGCACGTGACTGTATACCATCACGTGCGCTCCCACCGGCAGAGTGTATGTCGGCCAGTCACAGGACCCTCAACGCCGCTTCCAAGCTCATGCCCGCAACCCACCCAGCCGGATGAAGGAGGACGCCAGCCGCTACCAACCCTTCCATGACCACTTCTCGCTCACGCGCCTCATGTCCACCGCCAATCCTGCACTGGCCCAACGGATGGAGGCCTTCTACATCGCGCAGTTCAAGGCTCGGGGGCCAGGCGGCTACAATGTGCTGTGCGGGCCGCCTTCCGCCAGCCCGGCCTTCTACGCGATGAGGCGGCAACGCGCAGGCAGCGCACACACGCCCACCGCCGTCACGGTCCAAGACAATGACGATGACGCCCCAGACACGCTCGCCTAGCCCTCACAGCACCTACACGCCTCACGCTTGACGGAGTGGGTCCCGCGTATTCAGCGCGAGGCTTCCCCACCTGACCAGTGCTGTTTCATTAGGGCACGATCGCCCTTGGGCCGTCATTCACGGTGCATACTTGT